GCATGCACCATTATTTTCATTTTTCTGCTATTTGCTTTTGATTTTTGAATTCTTAAGTTGGGATCCTCTGAGGTCTGAATCTCAAAAAATGCTGAGCATTTAACAGGCACTGATTAGATATTGTTTAGGACTAGTATTTTCAGAAGTGCTCTCAATTTTGCATGTTTTACCCTTTGCATGCCTAACTTACAAGACCTTGAAGCTGCATATTCCAAGACTTTTAGAAAAGCCACTGGTATTTCAGTGCTTTGACACTGATTCTGTGGCACRAAAATCAGAGGGAGCTTTGTAACTCACTGCAGTGAGGGCAGAACCAAAGTAGCTTTAAGAAGCCACTGTCTAGAATTTCAGGTACACAATATTATTAGTAAGTGTGAAAAACCTTAGCTTAAATACATATTAAAACAGTGACAACAATGAGCCAAAAGACAGCCTCATAAGCCGATAATAATGCATTTTCACAAGAAAACGGGCTGATTTCCAACAACATGGTCCACTCAGCAGCTCTCTTCTAATGTTCTTAAGCTGAGAGGCAAGACATGTACTCTCTTGAAGTGTATCTTTGAAGATGCACTTCAGGAAGTGATCGAATATAACTTAAATACTTTAGGAGGGCATGGACAACAAAGCCTTCCCCCGCCACACACCTTAGGTCTATTTTTTTGTTTTTGTCCTTTCCAGCAGTATCTGTCCCTGTGGGATGATGYATGTCTCCAGCTTCAAGCCTGTGCAAGTGCCCAGCATGCTGCGTGTACGGATAGAAGAGCATAATCTGTGTACAGGAGAGCTGCCAGTAAGACTGAGAGCATTAAGGAGGATAAAGCGGGGTGATGTTTTTTGCTGTATGTAGTGAGGAGGTTGTGATGAAATTAAATAGGAGGAGACTGGTTTTATGAACTCCATGTGCTGCCTCTCACTGTTTTCTTGTGAGATGTTGAAGGTCAACATGACTATGGCGTGATTAGTTAGGCCAGGAGCTGATTATACAAGAAAGAACTTATGACCACAAAACTCCGGACATATTAGCTAGTTTTACCGTCTCTCAAATGAGTCAAAAAATGACAAAGGACAGCAGATAATTGCCCTACTTTTAACCCTGTTGGCCTAAGTCCTGTACTCTGTATTCCTTCAAACTTCCACTTACATCTGTAAGAATGTTTCCTAACTACAGCATACAGAATTGGCCAMGGTGAAATTACTGCACACTTGAAGATCTTGCTGGAGCTTAAAATCTATAGCATCATRCGAGAACTTACAGCATCCAGAAAACAACGACAAATGACATCGACAAGAGACACTTCTCTGTTTTCTTTCTGGTAGCCATAGAAATAGAGATTGAAACAGGAAAAATGTACAATGTTATTTTAAATAATCACCATATAGTGATTACTGTAAAGCCTGTGCTTTGTTTTAACTGGTCTGACATTCATTTCCATAGAAACAGAAAGAGACAAGCAGCCCACTTGTTTGAACTGTCTTGTGGATTTCATCTGTGTCAGAATGCAAGATATAAAGCGATTTAAAATGTGGGAAAATCCTGAGAGGTTGTGCTTAGATTTTTTTCCCCTGAAAAGCCAGAGGAACATTAGTGAACTTCTTGAAAACCTTATTCTGGGAAAGGCGAACAAAAATGAAATAGAGAACTATTTCACTCCCAATAAACTGAAAGGATGAGGGAAGGAGAAGAAATAGTAATAGTATATGGTTGGAGAATTATTGTCTATATGTGGAAAAAAATTATACAAAGGCAAGTTTGATCCAAGAAATGCTATCTTTTTGCAGCTGTGCTATAAACCTAGTTGCGATTATTTTTACTAATAGAAAACTTCAGGCCATCTGACTCAACTTTCTTCTATTATTTCACATTGTTGGCTTCTTTTCTAACTGACAGAACTAATTTTATTTGAGTTTCCATACACTAAGCCATGATAGGAGTTTCAAATTGGCAGTTTGGCTGAAGTTCAGAGAAAATAGAAATGAAGAGCTCAGATTTTTTTTTTTTTACTTTGCTCTTGCAAAACATCTACGCAACAAAAAAAGTTCTTGCATTTCTGATACTATGAAATGATCTCTTTTCTCCCTGAGTTCAAAAGAGAAAAATTGACTGAAGCAGTCATGATATCTAGCCGGGATTCTGACTTGTGGGTTCTTATTTTGTCCTTGGAAATGAATGGATCTCACTCCAGTTTCTTGTAAGGAAACACCAAGATTCTGAGATTCTGCATGTTGGACGTGTCTGGATCAGTTGTGTTGTCTTCTGACTGATGTGCATTGCCAGCTGTAGAAACTGCTTTCATGGCTGTGGCATAGAAAYATGTTTTGTACATCAGGAGAAATGATACTTCCCGTCTCCCTTGATGGAGTGTTTCACCCTGCTGTCTTTAGTGGTTTAAACACTACTGGTTGAAGAGATTAGAAATTTTAGGTTTTCCTTCGATRGCAATCCCCCATTCAGGGTAAAAAATGACAATGCTGTTTGTAGACAAAGCATCTGCACATAGGAGTACCTGACCTCCTCTTTTGTTGTTATTCAGCCTTCACTGAGTAATTCTAGGGGTTACCTAAAACCTTAGGGGTTACCTACAACATTTTGAACCTCTCCCAGTCCAGTCATTCCACATAAAAACTGTCTTTGCCTTTGTGTTTACAGATTCTTCTGCATTGATTTTGTGATTATCTCGGGTCTACTGTCCACTTGGAGTCCCAGCAGCTGTTGTGGTACCCGCAGGACATTTTTGGCTTCTATGTTCCTAAGATCAGTGATGAATCCAAAGAGCAGGAGGTGACATAYTGCTGTTAGAGCTATAGCAGGTAGCCTGAATATATATTTTATCTGTCAGCTGACTGTATAGGGAGTGAGGTTCTGACTTCCTAGGGCTAGAGATCGTCTGACTTCCCTCACTTGAAGTTATGGTACATACATAGGTGTAGCTGATGTGAAGTTATGGTAGGTAACTAAGGTCACACAGTCACCCAGACGCCTTTCTAGAAGACAGGAATATGCTCCCCAAATACTTTCTGCTATGGAGGGGTAAAAATGTATGGTACTTAGGAAGGTTCCCTTGGCATTCTGTTCAAGAAAAAAAAAAAAAAAAAAAAGGCAGGAGACCCTCACAATTCTCTCTCCAGTACCTCAGCCAGAAGGCACAAGGTAACTGGTTCAGTCATAAGCATAAGCAGTCCTTGTCTGAAGCAGCAAAGAGGAAGGGTTTCACACACGTGACTGAGCCAACAAACCCCCTTCCTTTCTTGCACTAGACACCCAGAACTATTCAATTTTATGTTATTTTTCAGTATCTGTTATCCCATTTATCTGAGTTCAGTAAAGCTTGATGGAATGCCACGAAGCTCTGGCAGGGCTGTGAAACCTGCTTTGCTCTCACCTGCTCAAAGCTGGAGAAGCGTTAATATGTATGGAATGGGATCCATGGGATGCCCAGTTATTGTCCTGTGTGTGAAGAGGGAGATGGTAAGGAAAGAAAGTGCATTCAGAACCAGTCATGAAATTCAAGCTGGTCAAAGCTCTGTGTAACCTCCAGAAAGAGGCACCAAAGTCAGGAAATTCAAAGCTGGATCTGATCCAAGCTCAGCTGGTGCAGAAGGAAAGGAATGGATGTAATGGAATGAACTGGGTCCCATTGTCTCCCTCCTTTTCACATTTTTCACTGCAAGAGGAAGCAGGTGAATGTGAATATACATCAGATTCTAAAGAGACAGATGTTCTGCCTACCCTGCTTACACACACGCACATGCCCTGGCCCAAGGATGCTTTCTGCCTCATTTCCAGGGTTGCTGCTARGTTCCCTTTCCTGAGGGCACCTTTTTTACTGGGAAGTAAGTCTCCTGCTTTATTATCTCTCCCTCAAACCTTGAAAGGAGCTAGAAATGAAATCTGAARGTAGCATGGCAGGTTGTAAAGCTAATTTATTTGAAATTCTCACTGGTCTCGCTAAGTGTTACAAAACAGATCCTAGGGAACAACCGGAACTCACGGTAGCTTCAAGATGTTTTCTTACCTTGAGACGAAAGCTTTAAGCAATCCTGCACGCTTCACACTCAATTATGCTGAAGTACACAGGCTTTGAACAAAGCTAAGGGCAGGGACAAGGTGGTGGCATAAGGAGAGGARACAGTCAAAGGGAAAGGTTATTTTGCAACTTGGAAGAGTCAGGACCACTTCTTAACACAGTTCAGTGCCTGCTGAAATCCCTCTTTCCGAAGAGGGATTTCTTTTCCCCGTCAGGAGAAGGTGTTGGTTGGTTTCCCCCGCCCCAGACCTGTGTGCCAACGAAGCCTGAAAATCCTACAAAGTCAGTAGCCCAGGCAGGCTGGAACAGTAGCACAGAGGGAGGTCTGAGGGAGGCAAGCGGGCAAGTTGTGTGTTTTGCCGGGTACCATTTCAGTGCCAGGGAGGAGAAGAGTCTCAGGAAGCACTTTGCATCAACCCTGGGAAAAAGAGAAGAGTGGAAATGTCACATGAATTAGGAGGTGGACGTAAGCCCGAGATGGCCCTCCCCTAGCCACAGCAGGGATAAGGGAGGAAAATAACTATAAA